TAGGATTTAGCCAAAACATGGCGGAGAGTCACTGATTGGATCAGAGTCGTGATCAGTCTCTGATTACAATGGTTGCGTTCAGCGAACACAACAATTGAACAACTGATCACTGAGCGCTCTTTAAGCATAAAGTGACCAGTTTCCTGAACGATCTAAACATTTATTGACATGCGCAATATGTATGTACACAAAAACACAACCTTTATTTAAAAATGGTATATTCCACATTATTGTGTCGTGCCATTCGTATTCACAGAAATCACAGTTCTCTCTTTTAATTTAATAATGGCTGCTAATAATTTCATACTTCTAGCTTCGCTAGATGATAATATTATAGAGAGAGATATAATAAGATATTTTGACAAAGAAGATACAAGATGAATTATTAAATAATTTTAATACAAGACGTCGTATGCATTGGAAAAATAAAAATTATTACGAATAATTCCATTGTATAATAATATTGTATTTAAAGAACATTTTAGCATGTCGAGAATAGTTGTAGAGGTAAGTCTTACATGATATAAAGTGATAAAAATTCTCCATTTTCATAATAAAGTGTAAGTCCCGCTAAGCTTACAACACGTTGTACTCACTGAGCGTATTTGAAAATCGTTTAGAAAAATGGCGTCCGCTCACTGAATATGTTGAGAATATGCTCACTGATCAGGCGCGTTCAGTGAACATTTCGCCAATAGTTGCGTTCGCTGAACATACCCAGTGTCTCTACATGGCGCATGTGGTCACACAACATAGCGATATTCCATATCGATACATTTCGGTTGAGTTCGAGGAGCGCGCTATTAAAATCGCATCATTTTATCCTTAATTTACATATATAAACATATATAAATAAATCATTAATTTACATATATTACTTTATAATGAGCAATAAAGATGAAATAATGTGATAATGCTAATAGCGTACTCCCCGAACGCAGCTTTCGTTGGTATGACAGTGTGGCACCCTTGTCTCCTGTCGCTGCTCCGTCGCCTCGCGCGCTCGCCGCCGAGCGCCACCGTCCATCGAGGAAGCAGTTGCTGATGCCACGACTAGGTAACTTCCGCCTTCTCC